TGTGTGTGTGTGTGTGTGTGTGTGTGTGTGTGTGGTCAGCATTGTAAGGATAGATGAGTGAAAGAGAGACAGAGAGAGAAAGAGAAGGATAGAGAGATAGGTAGAAAGAGAAAAAAACAGACAGAGAGACAGAGAGACTGTGTGTATATTTGGGTATTCACCATCTATAATACGTATTTTACTTTTATGTTTTTGTTTTGGTAAGTGTTTTACGGCGCTGGCATCTTCAAAAGGCCATATGAGCGCATGGGATGAATTTCAAATTTTCAGTACGATGGGAATTAATATTGAATTTCCCGTGGGTGACGGTCCCGCCATATTTTTATCGACCTTTGACCACCAAGGAATCTATAACGTGCGCAACTCGCACACGAAACCTCCGATATTTTTTCTACCTTATTCAAGAAGGCTGGTATTAGATCTTACCTACCCTAAGATCAGAGGTGTATCTGATATACTACAGTATGAAAAAGAGTAGCAGTAGAAATTCTGCGGTCAGTTTTGAGTGACAGTATCTCAGGCTTCTGGTTAAACAGATGCATAATTAACAATCAGATGATGTAAACTTTATTTAGCTTTACATTGGTATGCTACATGAGAGTGTAGTGTGAGGCTTTAATACGATGATTGGGTAATTAAATTTAGACGTTTCTATTGGACGTCAAGATGCATAGATAGATAGATAGATAGATAGATAGATAGATAGATAGATAGATAGATAGATACATAGATACATAGATACATAGATACATAGATACACATATAGATATACATGTGTATGTGTTATGTGTATGTGTGTATGTGTGTGTGTGTTTGTGTGTGTGTTTGTGAATACATACAAGCAGTCGCAGTCAGAAAGACAGACAGACAGACCGTCAGACAGAACATCGACATGAAGACATACACGTACATAGTTCAACAGGCAAGCAAACAGACGGACAAACAGACAGACAGACACACAGACAGACAGGCAGACAGACACAGAGAACACCAAACTAAACAGACAGACAAACAATAGAGAGACACACAAACACAAAGACAGACACACATACAGAGAGACAGACAAACAGATAGACTGACAGACAAACTGACAGACATGACATCTTGAGGACGGCATCAACCGTTAGTCATTGTCGAGCCAACATCATCTTTTTTTAAGTTAGAGAAGAAAAGTTTAGAAAATAGCCAAAGAGGTTATGAACAGTTCTATTTAAAACCTCTTCGGAGAACAGCAGACATGTATGTAGAGGTATTGAAGACGCGGAAGCAGGGTTTGAGATTATAATGACTGTCGTCTTGGTTTGTGAGTGAATTCTAAGCCTTGTTTAGATCAAGTGATTGCGACTGGCTTTGCTAAAAGCAAGTATCTGAAAAAAGAGACAGAGAGAGATACAGGGAGAGAGAAAGAGAAAGAGAGAGAGAGAGAGAGAGAGAGAGAGAGAGAGAGAGAGAGAGAGAGAGAGAGTGTGTGTGTGTGTGTGTTTGGG